CGAATATGAAACTGGAGCCCCCCCCCCCCCACGTGGCACGGCGGTATGTCTGCGGACTTACAACGCTAGAAACCAGGTTTTGATACCCGTGGCGGGCAGAGCACAGATAGCCCATTGTGTAGCTTTGTGCTTAATTCCAAACAAACAAACAATGAAACTGGAGTAAAAAACACACACACACATTCTAATCAGTTTTACCATTGCTTTGAATGGTTAGAAATAATCAATAAATATCATCAGTTTTTTGGAAATATGTTATAATATCAGCAGATATGGCTACCAATAAAATGTTTGACCTGAAAATAATATTATGTTATATTCCTTTTTTTTTTAAGAAACTTGATTACAATCTTTAAATATTTCAACCTACAGGTACTTCTGTTTATATTTACATTAAAACCAATGTAAATGACATTATCAAGATAACATAATACATTTTTAAGAGAATTTTCAGTTGATGAAAGTAATAACAACAATGTAATTTAGAAATTATTTTGAATTCTTAAACTTCACAAGTTACCCTATAAATACAGATTCATTGCTAGAGCCAAAATATCACCACAAACGAGTTATCCTTTTCAATAAATAGGTATAGGTCTAAGTAAATCAAATAATTGTTTGTTTTTGAATTTCGCGTAAAGGGCTATCTGAGCTAGCCGTCCCTAATTTAGCAGTGTAAGACTAGAGGGAAGGCAGATATTCATCTCCGCCCACCGCCAACTCTTGGGCTACTCTTTTACCAACGAACAGTGGGATTGACCGTCACATTATAACGCCCCCACGGCAGAAAGGGCGAGCATGTTTGGTATGAGAAGTTCAATAAGTCACACAACTTCACACGAAAGAACACTTTAAATCTTTACACAAATTAACAGAGCATACAGATACGTCGACGACATAACATATCAAACCTATCAATGTTTCTTGATAAAGCTAAGTATATCTACCCGACAGATCTGGTACTTGAAAAAAGTACTACAAATACAAATGGAGCACGCTATCTGAATTTAGACATTAGTGTCATCAACCAAACACCTTCTCTCAATGTTTAGAATAAAATAGATTTTAAGAGTTATAAATTTACACAATATAACGCAATGTTAAGCATTCTAACTCTCAAAGCTATGATTTTTATTTAGTTATAATTGTTTCCATTGTGTTGTTGTTGACTGAGCTTAAATTGCAGAGCTAGCACGATCAATAATGAATAAAAATAACGTTCTTCATCCTAGGCGTATATACCCTAACATAGGCCTAAGCATATACCCTAACATAGGTCTAAGCATATACCCTAACATAGGCCTAAGCATATACCCTAACATAGGCCTAAGCATATACCCTAACATAGGCCTAAGCATATACCCTAACATAGGCCTAAGCATTTAATATTTCACACTTATAATTTTATTCAACTCCACAGAAACAAATGCTTTAACTTCTTTAACTCTGTCTTTATGTACCACCTAATTAATATTGTCGCTGTATAATATAAATAAATTTCTTTATCCTCACTTTACCGTGCTTTTCTAAGCATTTATCACATTATAAAGATTTCATACTATATCTGTCATTTCTGGCTTACCTCATATTCCAAATAAACTATTCTTAAGTGATCCTTCTGTAGTTAAGAGCTGGCCACCTTTGTTTTGTTGTTGTTGTTGTTGTTTTTTACATTTACAAAATCTATTTCAAATCTGGTTGTTGCACAGGCTTTATTTGGTAAGATAATTCTTTAACACTTTGGTGAGTTAAGAGCTACCCCAGATACACTAACAGTCGTGTATTCACACAGGCTGTGTTATTGTCCTGTGGTCATCTAACTGGAACTTAACACAAGCTAAATATGTCGTACGTTTATTTGTGTTTCCCTAATTTATAGTATTAAACTTAAATAATTCAATATTTATCTTAGCTATTTATAGCATTAGCTGAAATAATGTATAACATTAACTCTTTAGTACCAATAACTACATTGGCGAAATATGATAGACATGGTACACGAAACTTTATATTCTTTGATAAGCTTGCAGTAAGGATACCCAGCTGTTGACCTAGGGTCATGGTAGCTTTTATAGTTCATATTTTCATATCGGGAAGCATCAACGTGTCCAACACCAATTATGAAACGTGTAAGGAACGTATTTATTATGGTAAATCTTTACCTTTGTTTTTGTCAAATATAATACCAGCGAAAAGCTAAAGCTAATTAGAAATAAAGTTATCTTTATTTGCCTATTTTACAAATTATGTAAGATGTTTTCCAACAGAAACCCTTCTTTTGGGAAAATTATATCCAAGCCCAGTGCTTCAAAGAAGCTTACTAATGCGTATTTAACGTAAAGTTAAAGGCAGGCATGCATATCTATGAGTTTCATGCTCTGTGCTCGATTTAGTACGACTTATTTGCACACGTGTTTCCTGTTTTAGTTGGCTTATAATTAGATATAGTCAACCATCCTGCATATGATGATAGATGATTTGCCTCAATTAACGTTCTGAAATTTGCATTTATTGCACCAGAAATAAACTCTAGAAACACGTATGTGCATGATATAAGAGATTTCATACATTAAACAAGTATATTGATATTCTTTCTTTAATATGTCCAAAGTTACAGGATAAAAGATAACAAAGCACAGTATTTGTCCCGATCTTCAATCTCAGCTCCTCTCGCTACATCTTCTGCTCATTATAAAAGTCCCTCGGTAAGTCTATGGATTTATAACTCTAAAATCCGGGGTTCCTTTCCCCCGCGGTGGACACAGCAAATAGCCAAATGTGGCTTTGCTCTTAAAAAAATTAAGCAAACAAGTTATTCTAAAATGTTCAAAAAAATAAAACAAACAGAAACCAGCGTGAATGTATTTAAACTAGTGAAGTAGATGCATTTAAAACACAACAACATAATTTCATTTTATGTTATTTTTATGTTTCAGTTACTACTTTTTTAATTGTTTCATAAATATTCAATCATAGATCATAGATCATAGATCGGTAATTTTTTGTACGTCGTTTTACAATAATTTCCTTGGATATGGATGTATGTATGTACGTTAGTTTATCTTAAAAATTACTTAATCGAGATGACTGAAGTCTAGTTACTTGCGATTGGTTAATATTTTCCCAAGTTATTTAGAATCATTTAACATGTACATGATATCCGAATAACTTGATAGTTGGACAATCTCAGAGCTTCCCGAACTTTGATTCGTTCTAACATGCAGATTCGTGTTTCTTGACTCAACTCACACTAGTCATTGACTAGGACGTTGCGCAACTGTCAAATCTTGTTATGCCATACCTTGAGTTGGAGCGAGTCAGAAAATTGTGACTGCGTAATATATGTTTCAAGGTATGCAAATTATGAGAAATAATAAACGTGAGTGTGGTGTTATTTAAAATTGATAAGTATGTGAAGTTTCCCAGAATCTTCAATACGTAATCCATGAGTTCTTAACCAAAAATGGTTCTTAACTATGCATAACAAAGGATGGATCTACTAAATATTCTACATAATCACAGAATAGTCAACTCTAATGGTGTAAAGAAAGACATTTCTACATAATCACAGAATAGTCAGCTCTAATGGTGTAAGGGAAGATATTTCTACATAATCACAGAATAGTCAGTTCTAATGGTGTAAGGGAAGACATTTCTACATAATCACAGAATAGTAAGCTCTAATGGTGTAAAGAAAGACATTTCTACATAATCACAGAATAGTCAGCTCTAATGGTGTAAGGGAAGACATTTCTACATAATCACAGAATATTCAGCTCTAATGGTGTAAGGGAAGACATTTCTACATAATCACAGAATAGTCAGCTCTAGTGGTGTAAGGGAAGACATTTCTACATAATCACAGAATAGTCAGATCTAATGGTGTAAAGAAAGACATTTCTACATAATCACAGAATAGTCAGCTCTAATGGTGTAAGGGAAGACATTCTTTTAAAAGCTTTCCCCCCCCCTAAAATAAGTAATCATAATTTAATAGTAACGAAAACTTTGCGGAACACTAGTATTTGCAGACAAGCCAAAATTCAGGGGATTATATCTTTTAGTTTATTTTGCTAGTGTTTAAATATTCATATACTATCAATAAACATAATTGTCACGATTACACCTACATAAATGCGTATTGTGCATGATATAAGTATCGTATATTTATATGGATTAGGAGTGGTTTATGAACTGTGCAACAGCATTCATATGATAATAACACATTTCTACAAATCAAGTACATCCAAAAAATTGTTTATAAGACGCTTTAATTTGTGTTTCAAAGACAGAATATTTGAAATTCTGCTACAATAGACATTAGAGTCCCATTAGAGGTACATTGTAGCATGCATGGAATATCCTAGTGGCAACAAGAGACCGACGTTAAGTTTGTTTGTTTTGAATTTCGCGCAAAGGTACACGAGGGCTATCTGCGCAAGCCGTCCTTAATTTAGCAGTGTAAGACTAGAGGAAAGACCCACCACCGCCAACTCTTGGGCTATTCTTTTACTAACAAATAGTGAAATTGACCGTCACATTATAACGCCCCAGGGCTGAAAAGGCCAGCATGTTTGGTGTGACGGGGATTCGAATCTGTGACCCTAACCATCTGGCCATGCCGGGACAATACGTTAAGTAATAAAAGCTAAAACATATAATAACATAATTTTAAGACATCTTGTACAATACTAATTTAAAAAAGTTATATTAAAAATATACTTACTTTTCTGTTTTTTCTTCTCCTTTGGTACCTGAAGAATTGAATACGAATTATTTTTGCAGCTAAAAGAAACATTTATTATATCTCTATAATTTTTTACTTTATTTAGGAAACTGACAAATAAAACTTGTTGAAATTGAAGGATACGGTAAACAATCGCCAAGTTTTTTTTTTAATATTTCTATTTGAAGAGGATGACGTTTTGAGCATGAGATCTTCGTTAGATCGTACAGCTTACAACAAAAGGCGCATGCGTACAATTAAAAACATTGCGTGCGTAGCATTTTGAACGTTGAGCGTGAAATTTTTCAGCAAAATTACGTCTTATACACAAATATCAAATAGATTAAAATTAATGTTGAAACAAAATATGGAAAAACATAAACATAAAACAGATTAAAATTAATGTTGAAACAAAATATGGAAAAACATAAAAATAAAACAGATTAAAATTAATGTTGAAACAAAATATGAAAAAAACATAAACATAAAACAGATTAAAATTAATGTTGAAACAAAATATGGAAAAACATAAACATAAAACAGATTAAAATTAATGTTGAAACAAAATATGGGACAAAATGAGAATCTATAGGAAAGAAAAGTGTTCATTTAAACCAGATAGTTGTAAGGTTCCCAGATTGTTACCAGGCCTCATATAAACCTAACTACACATATACGAAGGGAAAAAAAAACAACAACTTTCAACACAAGACAGTCCTGAATGTGTCATCGACTGAATAATTTGTAAAATATGTAATAATTTATACACTGGACAAACAGGTCGCCGACTCGTTGATCGATCACGAGAATATCTGAACCATATTAAACTGCAGAACCGAGATACGCCTATTGGTAAACATTTCACCATCAACAACCATACAGTTGAGGACTTTTATATTCTGGGACTTATTAGTGGTCCAACAGACATTCACACACAAATGACTGGAAAGGAGATTAATCTACAATCTGGGCACCTTACAACCATCTGGTTTAAATAAACGCTTTTCTTTCCAGTAGATTCTCATTTTTTCCATATTTTGTTTCAACATTAACTTCAATCTCTCTTTTTTAAGTTTTTTCATATTTTGTTTCAATATTCATTTCAATCTGTTTTATATTTTTGTTTTTAAATATTTTGTTTCAACATTAATTTCAATCTGTTTTATATTTATGTTATTCAATATTTTGTTTCAACATTAATTTCAATCTGTTTTATATTTATGTTATTCAATATTTTGTTTCAACATTAATTTCAATCTGTTTTAT